AAAAATATTGATTGTGAGAAAAATATTGATTGTGAGAAAAAAATTGGTATATATGAGTGCGTGAGAGTGAAAACCTGGAAACCGATCATAGTAAATCATCCGGATTTTCACTCTCACGCACTCATATGATATCGATCATCTAAGGCCACAATAATAATGCCGAATAATCACGTGATAATCATCACTTGATTTTAAAGCAAATGCATATATGTGGATAAAAATTGTACCCATGAAACTGAACTAATTAATCATTTAGATTTACTTTCGAAAAAAAATTACAAAAAATGATGTACAAATTTACTACGTATAGACATGTATCAGGCCATAAAAATTAGGGACATATCCGTTCCGTTTATAATTAATCAGTTGATCCGCCACTTTACCTCCCACCGTTGAAGTTACTTAGCACTAATAAAAGCTGTGCAAATACAAGTCAACTTGCTTTTTTATTGATTTTAGAATTTAAATAGATAAAAGAATTATATTATTTTGAAATAAAATTTTGTAATTATAACATTTTAATGAAATTTTAACTCCGCCAAATTACCACCCTCTACCTTATATATAAATATAAATATATGATAGATGAGTAATACATTTTAAGCAACTCTAATAAATATTACAAATTACAAAAAAAGAGTACACTATTATCAGATCTATTTGGCATCATTCTTTGGTAAATAACCATGTTTTGCGATTTCTTGTAATGTCTCGACAGCTATGGCCACAACAGACTCAATTTTGCAATTTTTAATCAACAATTTTAAATTTTCATGAACTTTAGCTTCAACCAATCGTTGACACATTTCTTTGCTAACTTTTGAAATATTTTTGAAACATTCAACACTACGATGTTGCATTTCCACCGATTCTTCAGCAATTAAATCTTTTAATATTTCTATTCCACGTGGTCGATCAACAATCATATTACAAACATCGGGACTTGTCGATAAAATTGCCAAAGCTCCACTAGCTGCTCGTCGAGTTTCAAAATCTTCAACATCAGAAAGTGCAACTAATATTTTAATTTTGTTCGAGGACATTTGAGGATCACTGTACATATTATAAACTGGTTCGCAAAACATCATATTACATAAACATTCAGTTGCTGCCCGACGAATCATGTCATTATCAGAAAGTTGTAAATTTTCTATAATTGGGGTTCCTTTAGCATCATATATCCGCATTCGAATATCATTATCCGAACTTCCCAAATTTGTTAAAGCCATTAAAGCTTCAAATTGACGAAGTTCACTTCCTCCTTGACATAAAGAAAGAAAAGGACGTACGAGATCTGAAGCTCTTTCACCACGAAATGCCAAATTTGGGTCCATTGTAATGGCAATTTTTGCCAAAGCGTGACTTGCAAGTTCGGTAACTTCTTTTGTATTCTTGGTAGCTAATGGGATCAAAGCTTTAATGCCGCCTTGCTGAACAATTGCGCCTCGATTACTTTGATCTGTTGCAAGATTAAGAAATACTTTTGCCACTAATTGTCGAATCGCTTGACTAGAATTTTTTGTCATGATAATTAACGGACGAATGACACCAGACTTCATAACTTGTTTAGTCCGATTAATCACATATTCATCATCATCTATAGGATCATCTTCGATCTTTAAGCTTTCT